TGTGTGTGTGTGTACACACACACACACACACACACACACTGTATATCAGAAAAACAGTAAATATAATAGGGTCTAAAATAGTTAAGAATAAAGATAATAACGTAGATCAAAGTAAAATACTATTGTAAAGCATTCCAAACCTAGGTAATGGTGTGGTGTATCATACAGATGGTAGCACATAACTGGGCAAGATGTGAGGGCGATCTGGCTGTGACATCTGTCACCCCATTGATCGCCAGGGTTGATTCAGCTGATCTGGCTGGCTAGGCAGGTGTCCCCTTCCTCCGTTACCACTGCGTGTGTGCCCCTCCCGAAGCTGTGCACTCAGTGGAAGAGGAAAACTATCCAAGAGAGAAGGAGTGTACCGATCTTCAGTCAAGCATATACAATAGCTGCGCTCCCCTGCTAGAACCTCCAAACATTATTTAGATATATTTCTTTGTTTGAACTAAAGGGGAAATTGTTCCTGCAGTGGCACTCAGTTTTGTTGGAGCTATCTCAATAGGCTTTGAGAGATAGTATGTGTATAAAAGAGGTGGAGTAAAAAATGTATATGCAGTTTTTTTATCCTACTGCATTTTATCAGGGATATTTAGAAATAAGATTTATAATTTAGGTGGAAAATGTGTGTTTGAAAATACTTAAACTGAAAAGTCTATGTATGCATGCTGTTGCATTAACATTGCTGGAAGAATCCATATTTTAAGAAGAAGGACCCCAGATTTGCAATTTTAGATTATAACTATAATATGCAGAAATAATGACTCATCAACTGCAGTTAAATTTTCTTCAGTTAGGAAATAGTTTTAAAACTACCTTATATAAGACAAAAAAGTCATTCTCACATTTCAGTACCAACAGCTAACAGTCATGCCCTTTTCTTAGAAGAAAGGTTTGCGCAATTACCGTGGTAACATTGTGTTTGCACTTACATAACCACAGTCCCATTTTCTTTATTATGATTAGCAAATGATAGTGCCATGCTTTCTGTGAGTGTTTTGATCATGTCACTTCCTCTACTGAATGCTTTGACATCGGTAAGCCCTACATGTGAAATATCACAAGAAAAAAGCAACCGTCTCTGAATGTCCCTAAGATCCAGAACCACTCAGATGTGTGATGTATCCCCACCCTTTGGAGCCCTCAGTCTTCCCCACTCTAAATTAATTATAGCCCCTGGGTATGTAAGGTTTACCCATCTCTTCACTGGCTGATTAACAAAGGTAACTCTGTTTGCTACTTCCTCTTTCCTCCTGTCTCTCTCTCTCTCTCCCTCTCTTCCAAGCTAGGAGACGGAATTTTGCTCTGCTAACTCAGGGCTGGCATAGCCTCCTAATATCCCTAGTTATGCTCCTTTAACCCTTGGAAAGTTCTACTTGAGGGACATCTATGCTAGCCAGTGCTTAATAAGATCTCCAGGTTGGAAGTGTCATTTGCTAGCTGATCTTCCTCTCTTTTAAAGAAGGTGACCTTAAAGCATTTATTGTGGCCCCAAGGTTTGCCACTAAGGAAAAACAGGATTACTTCCTGAATATGTTAAATAAAGAAGGATAATAAATACCTTCCAGGGTTAGTTGACTGGATCAACCTAGAGCATATATTGGCAGACAAGCAAGTGGGCTTCAGGACTGGACATTCTATCTATGGACATGCCCTTATACTTCAAAACCTGGCTGAAAAATACACATCTAAAACAGGCTTAATATATACTGCATTTATTGATTTTAGGTCTGCACTCAATCCAGTTCCCAGAGCAAGGCTATGGACTAAGCTTACGATTGATAGATGGTTACTGTTGTTTATGCATAATCTTTATAAGGATCCTAGAATCAAAGTTTGATGAAGATGTAAGGCCACCACACTAATGAGATTCCAACTTACAGAGGAGTGAGGCAGGAATGTCTTTTAGCTCCCCTGCTGTTTAATCTGCACATAAATCCACTCGTGGCCAAAATAAATGAATTAGAACATCACCGCCCATCCCCCAC